AGGAAGCTTGTGACCAATGCTGGAACAGCCATTGCGAAATTTGTTGCGATTCACTTAGTATGCTAACCATCCTTTATATAGGGGTTGTTGTGGAGGCCCAGTCATGGAAAAGTTTGTAGTTGCTTTCGGTGCAAAATTTTCTATTCACGCAAGCCATTCCCTAAGCATTGTAATTTATGTTCTTATTTTTTTATTTTGCTCCAAAACAGTTGTCCTCGACACACCATATTGATTTGGATGAATAAAAATGTCGCGCTTCAAAAATAGAGGTGTCAACATGGGTCATAAGCCCATTCTTTGACTCATATTTTTACAACCATGTTGTATATAGGTTGTTTAAACACTTAAAAAGGCCAAGTGAAAATGAGTTTAAAAAATTAAAGTTTAATCAGATTGGGCCTTAATAGAATTTTAGATGATTTATTTTTGTTTCTATATGCACACGTTTATATTTCAATTCCTCGAGCATTTTTTGTTTCTTTTAACCACAAATTTATTTTAGGGAAAACGTCACAAAAAGCCCCCAATTATGCCCACCGTGATACATTTACTTTGAACTTTTTTTGTGATATCAAAAACCCCAAACTATACCCACTGTGATGCATTTACCGTGACATTTCTCTTGTGACATAGAAAATCCCAAATTTGTATATATGTGACACATTTACCTTCCATCAACATTCTGTCAGATGAGTTTTTAGTCAAAATAACGTCGTTGTTATTTCACTTAAGCCACGTGGGCATCATGCCAACACCGTTTGCTTTCCAGCATCCATGTAGGCAAATTTTTAATGGTTCTCATTGACGAAACTTTGACAGCGGGTAAATATGTCACACAGGTACAAGTTTGTTATTTTTAATGTCACAAAAAAATTTAGGATAAATGTGTCAGCATAACTTAGGATTTTCGGTGGTTTTTGCCCTTCATTTTAGGGCTGCGTTTTTTCTACTCTCACCATGGTTAAAACACTCCTTGTTACAGTGCTTTGACAATATTAACCCTTGTGGGTCCCATCTTTTTTAAGGGTCCTTTTTTTTGGCTGTGGTGTCTCATTTGTTTTCTTCTTTATTTTTTCTCGTGGGTCCCATTTTCCTCTTTCTTTACTTCTCTCCCTTTTCCTCCTTCGTTACTTCTCTCCCTAAGTTCTTAAATTCGGTCATGGTTCAAGCATTGGTAGAATATGTAAAAAAAAAAAAATCTCTCTTTTGTGGTAAGTCTCTGTTACTTGTCGTCCAGATCACGTCGCAGTCATCGGTTTTTCAATCGTTAACCGGAGTTTGATATCCTGGCTCCCGCATTGAACTTTACGCCTATCAGAACACGGGGATTTGAACCATTGACGGGTAATAGGGCCACCTCATCGCATAAGGGCTCGGCCTTAAGAATTGAGTTCGCAATCACCTCTTCAGTCCTCTTAATCACCAGCGGCGATAGCTTGGTAATTAAGATCGGCGCGGAATTATGAGAGATCGCAAGCACGAGGAGGGGCAAATCCTCGCCGATTGCATTTTTGGTTTGCGTAAACAACTTAGTGGGAGAGGGGAGATTTGAACCACGTATTTGGAGGTGGGTAGGGGATGGCGAATCGGCAATAGCAGTGACAATTATGACCAAGAAGATAAAGACGAAGAAGTAGAGATTGCTTATGAGCTTGAAGAGTTTTTGGGCCAAGGCTTCAACTCTTGGATTTGAATCTTTAATGATTTTTTTCTTGTCTTTTTGATCGATCAATCGAAAATTTTGATGCGAAATAGGATAATTTAAATTTGCCATGAGATGGAAGAAGACTAGTTGGGTGAAGAGGAGGTTTATGCAAATTAGGGCTTCAACACAGATTATTGACATGAGAGAGATATTTTAGAAAGAGAGAACATAGAGAGAAAAAAAATGAGAAGAAGGAAAGTGGTCCTGCCAGAAAAGAGAAAGAAGAGAAGCAGTTGAAGAATGCTTAAAAAAAGTAGAACCCAAAAAGGTTAATATTGTCAAAACATTATAAGAGGAAGTGTTTTAGCCTTAGTAGGAATGAAAAAGCCGCGATCCTCATTTTATTGCACCTTTAATATATATGGCCGGCACACAATACCAAACCAGTACTATGACAATCAATCAATTCTGTGGCCAAGAAAAATGTTTCAAAAACTAAATCTATTGATTGTCAGCTTTTCTTTTTCTTTTGAGGCCTGTAATTAGTATAGGATGTGTAACGAACGGTTCATTTCACGTTGATCTTTTCTCCAACGTGGGTATTTTAAGTGATCACCACCAGAAGGTGTTGGGTGATGACACCTCCAAAAGTTAACTGTTTCAAATATGTGAGGAGCTTTCGACCAAATATATATATGTGAGGAGCTCAACGAGGGAAGTCACTAAAATTTGTTGATTGAGTATCATAGTCATACTCGACGAGGGGTAAAAAGACACTAGATGGAACTCTACATACCTAAAGCTTGAGGATGCTCGTCTTTCCATGTCCATTTTCCCATTTGATGTACCTTCCCGGCCATGGTCTCTTCTTCGAAATTAGATCAAATTTCTAGCACTAGAAGAAATAACAGGAGATTTGTTCTAATAGCTTGAATACCTAAAAATCTTTAGTAATTTCTTATTTGTTAATTGTTTTTCATGTTTAGGCTCTGTTTGCTTCGCAGAAAATGAATCATTTGAAAAATATTTTCCTAAAAATGATTGCTTGTATCATTTATAAAAATTAATATATAGAGCATTTAGGACCCGTGGTCAAGTGATGTAGGACACTACTTCAACACCCCCTCTCACTTGCAAGCCACATTATAAGGGCACGTGGAATTTGACTGATGAGGTAGGATGCACATTCACAAAAGGGATTATACTGCCTCTGATACCATATTAGATTTTATGAGATCAGTGCTAACTGTTCTAAAAAGTTAAGCTATTAGATAAAAGTGTGGTTTAATATCTAAATATTCCAACACATACGATGACATCCATAATTAAGGCAAAATCAGGAAATCTACCATCAATTATCACAGAAACAGATGAAAAAATGTTGAGGGCTAAGCAAGATAGTCACTTTAACTCTCGATATGCTTTCGGTCCTTCTTGTTGGTTAAGACGATCGAAGCCGAAGCTAAAATGGGGTCTTTTTCTTTGGCTCCTTCTCATTTGGCTTCATTTACCCACAAGAGCCATGTCCTCCCGTCCATTGTATAGACTTCAAATTTTTTTTTTAAATGCCATGTTAGACTTAAAAATTCACTAGAAAAGCCACGTAGAACAAATCGCCGGAATATCTCACCAGAGGCATTGTAGTGATCGATTTTCCATTAATGTGGCACTCAAGTGATCAAAAAAGTTATATGGTACTCATGGTGTCCTTTTTTCCCACAAAAAGCTCCACACCAAAAGAAGAAATATGTGGAAGAGAGAATTATGTAATTTATGTATGTTTTTGTGTATCTCGTAATGAAGAGTACATGAGCCTAACAAGATTATTCAATCGGAGATATGTACAGTCAAAGAAGATAAATACACAATCTCAAGTGATATGAAATATTAAGGAAATATCATGAATATCTCTAACTATGCATCTTCCGACTTTAATTTTTACTAAAAAATTAAATAAAATATGTTGTCTCGTTTAAGATAACTAATAAAAGTAAATTAGCAATAGTGGACAAAATAGAAACAATTATTAGGCCAATTATCGTGAAAAGCCTAGAATTTTTCACTTTTCTTTTTATCAAATAAGTATCTAAAATAATAAAACAATTCTCCCGGAGACCATCGAATATGAACAGTAAGAAAATGCTCTCGAACGTCTTTGCGACGTCAGGTCAGGAATAAATGCAAAGCACTGTATAAGAAATAGACCGAACGTCGTATAAAATACCCAAGCTCGAAGATCTCCGCTCTCGAAGCCAAAGGTCGTTTGCTGTCGATTGCAAATATCACAAAAATCACGGGTAGCAACTATGGGAGACGCACCACCGAAAAAAGCTACATTCAGGCTATTCAGCTGCCCCTAATGAATAGGGCGTCGCTGATACAAGATCGATATGAGTTTGGTTAGGGTGGCTTTGAATTGTAGGACTTGTCTCACATTCAAACTAAGACACCACCAAACTCCCTTTCCCTCGTACGTTTTGTCGTACCACGCCCGCAGATAGAGAATCTGCTATGATGGTTGTTGCACATGAATGAGCTCTAATTGAAGCTTCTATTATTGATTGGTTGAACGAAGGGGTCCCATACCTAAGTCACAATCTAGGACAATAGTTATTCACGATTTAGTGAAATTACTTCTTCTAACAATAAAGTCTAATTATATCCGAACTTCATCAAGTATCTCACAAAAGAACACAAAGTTTGGCTTCCAACCCAAAAAGTCCGCCCTTTTAGCTTCTATCTATAGTAGTTGTTAGAAATTTGACATGTTGATCGGAATGTACTATATGTGTCTCGGATTTAGGTGACATGGAGCTAGGGCAAATAAAAAGACGGCCGCATCACTCCATAAATTGCTAAAGAAAAGTGAGAAATATTAGTTAGTCTTTACTTTCCAACCTAGTGAGAGGCCACTCCACTCACTGATCATCACGTGTCCAAATGGCATCTACTCATCGGAGCTTTCAAAACCAAAAGAAGAATCACATGGGACGCAAACTTTCTCATTCACAGCATCCAGCAAGGACTTCTGTCGTGGCTCGAGCGTTAGGTAGTGTTCAAATTCATTAATTAATCAAATCTAGCTATTAGCAATAGGTTAGACGAGAATCTTCTCCTTGCTTCTATTGTGTGTACCAACATAGAAAACGCGAGATGTAGCTTTCGACTGACCCATCTAAACCATCTACTAATCATATGATCAATATAGCAAAAATTGGAAGCTACACAGATGCCACCATAGTCACCAGAACTGATAAATTATAAAGAAAATAGTATGATTAAATTACTTCCCTTGAAGGGTACGTGAGCATCTTCAAAATTTTTCATTTTTAAATTTTATTTTTTGGAATCTCTCCTTTCTCTCTCTCTCCCTCCATTAATGTTGAAGCAGGCTTCCTTACTGATAAAACAATCTCTCTCCCTTTGCTTCTTCGCTTCCTCTTCTCTTTTTCTTCGCTTCCTCGGCTTCCCCTTTAGGCAAAGCAAATCATCTCCGTCCGACAATGGCCTTACACTGCAAAATCACCTCTTCACTCTGCACTTGACCTCTCTTCTTCAACCCTCACTTCAGCCATCTCCGAATGCCCTACTCTTCTCGCTCTCTCTCAAGACCCCTCCTCTCTTGCAGCCCACCCACCACGGCCCTTGCTTCCATGCCTTCGCATTCAAAACAGCGAGCCCGACAGCCTCGGACTCGGCCCGGATCGTTCGGAAAGTTTTCCTCTTCCTGCCCAAGGTCGATCCGGCCGACGGTCACGCCCAGATTAAGGAAGTGAAGTTCGTGAAGAGCAGTGGGAGGGCCAAGGATTGTCCCGAAATGGGAGGCCCGAGTTTGCAATTATGGGTCCGTCTAATGGGGGCAAGTCTTGGCATATCAATGCTCTGGTTCAGAGGAAGAAGGAAGTTACAGTTAAATCCAAGAAACCAGGTCCTTTCTATTCCTTATGGTTTTACTTTTTTCGCGTGGGATGGGCTGATTGATTGATGTATTTTGCAGGCAAGAGAGCTTATAAATCACTTCTTGGTGAACAAGAGTTGGTACGTTGAGGATTTGCTGGGTTACGGGTGAGCTTTAAGCATCTGGCTTTTGGCTTGCTTAAATTTTTCAGCTGTGTGGCGGCTTATAAATGCAAAAAAAAATCGCAGAATGTGAGCTAATATGTAAGTTTTGTTTCTGGGAATGCTGCAACTAATCGAGTGAGGTAAGTCGATTCAAAGCTGTTAGAGTGGGAAACTGGAAAATCGTTGGATCACAACTTGTTGACGAGCCTTCAAAACTTGATTAATTGCGCTCAAATGGTTTAAGCATTTTTTACCTGTCACTTTGGATATGCCAAGGTAGTAATTCTTTCAGCTAACATGTAGAGGCTGGAAATTCCGTCTCCAACTTAAGGTCTTTCTGTTCCTCACGTAGTGGACCCTTTGACAAGCGGCAAAGGATTAGTTTCCGTCTTTCGATATAAATCGTGAAGTGGAAGAAGTAAATTTTTACATGCTTTGTCTTCATACTATGCTTTTTCATTGTTGCCTTTGTCAATCAACAGTTCCATGGAATGAGTAGAATAAAAATAAACAGTTAAAGGATTCTTCGAGCTAAAAGATTAGTTTTGCTAATTAACTCTCCCACAAAAATAGCTCTCCATTCACTCTTTTCATTGCCGCTTATCTATCATAGCTGACAGAGGATACGAGTAAAAATTACCAAGTCAGTGAGTAGAATGTTGATAAACAAAGGTCGACTCAAGTGACAAAAAGGCTCCGTTGACGGAGTGAGAATGAAGTAACCATCCAAGTATTGAAGCCAACAATTTTGGATGCAACTGCATGAGAGATATTCGTTCAAGGGGGAACTTAAGGCAATCGTAGAGTAGTGAAGCCAAGAAGTTCATGAGCAACCGATAGTGAAAATTGGGCAAAAGGACACTATAAGTGCCATAACTTGTGTACGGAGATCATTTTGGTGCCATAACTTTTTTTCGGATCACTTTGGTGCCAAGTCGGAGGAAAAACGATCACTTAAGTGTCATAAGTTTTTTTGGATCACTTCAGTGCTAAAATTTTTGAAAAACGATCACTTAAGTGCTAAAATTTTTTAAAAACGATCGTTTAAGTGCTAAAATTTTTGAAAAACGATCACTTAAGTGCCAATCTCCGGCGAGCCACGTCAGCTTCAGAAATTAATAAAAAAAATGCCACGTCGGATTTCCGGCGAAAAATTGTGTACGGCACCGGAGTTGGCACTTAAGTGATCGTTTTTCAAAAATTTTAGCACTTAAGTGATCCAAAAAAAACTTATGGCACCAAAGTGAGCGCCGTACACAAGTTATGGCACTTGTAGTGTTCTTTTGCCGTGAAAATTGTGGAAAAGTGGAAAGGACAACCGTGGAAGTAGCGGAGAAGAAGCAATCATTGAAGTGGTAGAGTGGTTCATTTTTTAGTAACTGTTGGTAATAGAGATTGCTGAATTGTAAGAATTGCATAGGGTATATTCAATTTCTTTTTTAATCGTTGATAACTATCGGTAGTAGATATAAATACTTCAATTGTAGTTTGTAGGAGAGACCGCCAATCAATCAAAGAAAACCAATAGTTCAATTTTTTCTCCCTATTTTTAATATTTCATTACCTTTACATGGTTGACATGATTATCTCCAATCTCACATTTTTAATTTTCTCTTGGTTTGCGTTTCCTGTTTAAGAATTAACAAAGGACTATTTATACCCTTTGTTTCGACAAAACAAGTTGATTGGATTACAATTACATCTAGCGAGCTCGTGCTATGCATGGGAATTGATGGATTAATTTCTTGGTTACTCCAAAATCCATTAGATATTATTAGCAATGCGCTAATCTGTGGCAAATCATTAATGAAATTAGACATATAAAGAAATATGAATGATAACTTTGTTGGGAAAATTACCAAAAAAGTCATAAACCTTTTGTAAATGTGCTAATTCAGTCCTAAACCCTTTTTTTTTTACCATTTCAATCCTAAACCTTTTACAATTGTGCCAATTCAGTCCATCCGGCCACTTTTGGTCGGCCGGCACTGACGTAGACGCCGACCGGCGCCGGCCTGCTGACGTGGCATTATTTTAATATTTTTTTCCTTCTTCCCCCTGGCCGGACCGGCCAGGGGGAGGCTCGCCGGCGAGGTGACCTCACCGGCCATGGCGAAGCCGACCTCGCCGGCCATGGGCGAGGTCGAGCTCGCCCGGCCATGGCGAGGTCGAGCTCGCCGGCCATGGGCGAAGTCGACCTCGCCCGGCCATGGCGAGGTCGAGCTCGCCGGCCATGGGCGACGGCGAGGCCTCGCCCGGATCTGGCGAGACCTCGCCGTCGCCGGGTGAGGTCGAGCTCGCCCGGCGACGGCGAGGTCTTGCTAGATCCGGGCGAGGCCTTGCCGTCGCCGGGCGAGCTCGACTTCGCCCATGGCCGGCGAGCTCGACCTCACCATGGCCGGCGAGGTCGACCTCGCCCGGCCGACGGCGAGGTCTCGCCAGATCCGGGCGAGGCCTCGCCGTCGCCGGGCGAGCTTGAGCTCGTCGGCCATGGGCGAGGTCGAGCTCGCCGGCGACGGCGAGGCCTCGCCCGGATCCGGCGAGACCTCGACGTCGCCGGGCGTGCCCGACCTCGCCCAGCAACGGCGAGGTCTCGCCAAATCTGGGCGAGGTCTCGCCAGATCTGGGCGAGGCCTCGCCGTCGCCGGGCGAGCTCGGCCTCGCCCATGGCCGGCGAGGTCGACCTCGCCATGGCCAGGCGAGGTTTTTGAGCGAGGCCTCGCCGTCGCCCATGGCCGGTGAGCTCGACCTCGCCATGGTCGGGCGAGCCTCCCCCTAGCCGGTCCGGCCAGGGGGAAGAAGGAAAAAAAAAAGAAAAAAAATATTAAAATAATGCCACGTCAGCCGGCCGGCATCCACGTCAGCGTCGGCCGGCCAAAAGTGGCCGGATGGACTGAATTGACACAATTGTAAAAGGTTTAGGACTGAAATGGCCAAAAAAAAAAGGTTTAGAACTGAATTGGCACAATTGCAAAAGGTTTCGGACTTTTTTGGTAATTTTCCCTAACTTTCTTTATACGTAATACATATTTTGCTATTATGAAATGTTTGAAAAGTCAGTCAAGCATGAGTTGCCATGTCACGCCCCGAACCCCCGTCGAGCCCGCGACATCCCGCCTCCGGTCGAACAGAGTGCGACGTCCCAGGAATAACGTCGCCGACCCAACGATCCATCAGAGTTAACTCGCGGCAGAAGCAATCAAAAATCCCGGACATTAAAATTGGAGAACACCAGGAAGGAACAAATCGACAAACCACCAAGCATATATTACACTTCCAAATATTTACATCATCCGCTAATACAAACTACAAAATAATTTATAAGCACACCGAACTATGAACTCCAAACCACCAAAATATCAAGATCAGCTCTCTAGGTCAGCACTATCCAAAAATGGGGCGCATCCTCCTCCCAGAACTATCCCCTACGCCCTCTCGAAGGCGTCCACTCTGACTCACTGTCCTCGGCATCACCACCTGAATCCTCCGCAGCTGTCTGCTCACCCGATGACTCCGAGTCGACCTCAATCTCGACATTCAGGTGGGGGCTCTGAAATGGTTTGGTTGAAACAACCATTCAACCTCGACACCCCCACCATTCCGCTGATAAAAACGAACATCCAAAGAATCGGGGTAAAATTGGGCAGTTTATACAGTGACCAAAACCCCATCAAAATAAATAGTAAACGAACTCCAAAAATTCTCAATTTTGGATATGTCACAAAAAACACCCCGATAAACATTTCTTATGAAGAACACGAAATCCGGTTCAAACTGCAACCATGCCTTTTTGTCCCTCGAAATCAGACCAAAATCAGTTTGCTCCAACAGAATATTTTGTCCTCAAAATACATTTATTTCAACACACAAATCACCTTGAAAAACTTTGAAATTTTTATATGTTATAGCCACGAATGTCCCCAACAACTTCTGTGAAGGAATAATTTTGAAAATATGCCTGGAAAAATTTATAAAAATTCGAACAGACCCGAAGGTCGGGTGAACAGTAAATCGGGCAGTTTTATTTCGGTCCAAAGATGGACTTCCGAATGACCTCAAATTATTTCCAAAAATTCCCAAATTAAATTATGTTATACCTCAAGATGTTGTGAACAACTTTCATGAAGAAACCTTCTTCAAATTCGGCCCAAAAAATTCTCTACAAAAATAGCAAACCGGGCGGGTACAGTAACCGTGAATCCGCGATTCACCCCGAACCTCACGGATTCAAACCCGAACCGATTTCCACCGAATTCCAACCGCCAAAACTCATTTCCCGACGTCTAATCCAACCCGCAACAACCACTACCAGCCATACTCAGCCACCAATAACCATGATCAACCACCAATAATCATTATCAACGCCTTAATTAACCTCTAAATCCTCTAAACCATACCCGAACGAGTCCGAAAATACCCGACGTCCTAAATAGGGATTAGATCGCGACTTACCGGACTCTAGACTAACTCGGCTAGAGCGGGAAGGTGGAACGGCTGGCCGGCGTGGCTCCGGCGGCACACGGCGGCAGCGACGGTCTCCCGGCGGTGATGGGCGTCCACGCGGCCGAGAGAGGGGAAGGGGAAATCGGTATGGGGGAGAGGATGGGGAAGGAAACTGGTTCTGTGAGGGGGAGGGGCTGCCGTGGAGGGAGAGTGAGAGGAATGAGGAGAGAGAGAAGGTTTCTTGACTTAAATAATCAAATTTGACCAAACTTGCCAAATTCCAATTTTGCCCCTCCTTACTTGGCCAATATTCTCCTAAGCCAAAATATCCAAGGGCATTTTGGTCCAATATTTTGGGACTGATATTTATCCACAATTAATCCCCAAATTTAATTTCCAAAATTCCCAAAATTCGGAATACCCAAAAATAGGCCTAGGGGCAAAGTCGTAATTTTCCGGTCCCGGGGCGAAATTCCAATTTTCGCACATACGTGTTCCATATGTGCGTGGCCAACATAATATGGCGTCAGAATCGCGAAATTCACTTTCTAAGTCCTCGAAAATCGACTGCGAAGTTCCGGGAATAAAATAATATTATTTTTCCAATTTTTTGTCGAAATTCCAATTTTTGGGCAAAACCACTCTAAATGTGCGTGGCCACCCCAAAATGACCTTGGCCGCGAAAAATAACCTCAAACGGCGTCTGAATCCAGCCTCGGTGCCCACAGGGGCAAAACCGTAATTTTTCACCCCCGGACCGAAATTCCACTTTTTACTCGTACTAACTCCAAACGTGTGTGGCCAGCGTAATATGACGTCAGATTCCCAAAAATAGTCTCTTAAGCCTTCGAAAATCGACATCGAAATTCGGGCCCAATTTCGTGATCAAAACTCGCTCGAGTTTCAATTTCAGGGTCTCTGGCTAACGGGCGGCTGTTTAGGACATACGCGTATCGACCTAGGGTTATTCGAATTACGACGGTCCCGATCATTGAGAGAAT